CCTGGTGCCGAAAAACAAATAACGACGGCGCCAGGCGGACCTTTTTATTTATGCAGCATTTTAAATGTTAATATTATTGAATTTTATTCGGCCAGGGCGGCTTATTTTATTTTACTGTATATATTTTAATTGTCATTGTTTTAATGTATTTTGTATTCGATGTTGTAAGCCGCCCCGAGGCCTTGGCAAGGGGCGGCATAGAAATGTTTTAATAAATAAATAAATAAATAAAACAAAAAACAAATTGCCACACCTTCAGCCCATGCTTTTCCTGCTTGGTTCTGATGGCTCTTAAGGTTAATAATGTTTAATCTTTTTTTCATTAACCAATAAAGAGGAGCAAGCAGGCCATAGATCAGTGGTGGCGAACCTGTGGCACGTGGGCCGCAGCGGCACGCAGAGCCCTCTGTTGGCACGCGAGCCACGTCGCCCCAGCATCGCCCCAGCAGCCGAGCATCGGGTAACAGCGCACACAGGGGCCGTGCGCATGCTCGGACAGGAGTAGCACCACCAGGCGATGATGTCACGAGCTGCGTCTCGCATGGCCTGTCAGTGCGCTGCCAAAGAGAGAGAGAGAGAGAGAGAGATTTGCTTGGACTGGCTGTGAGTTCTAATACATGTTTTTATTAGCACAAGATTTTAGCTTTGAGTTTTCTTATGAAAAATTGAAATGTAATATCTAAGATTTAGCAGAGAGATGCTCTAATGAAGAGAGTGAGATCCTTTTAATGCTGTGCTGTCCCCCTGGCATATTTGAATTTGCAGCATCATATTTAGTGGTTTTTTCTAAACTAAAACCTCAGTATTCAGGTTTTATTGCGGTGTTGGCACTTTGCGATAAATAAGTGGCTTTTGGGTTGCAGTTTGGGCACCTGGACTCTGAAAGGTTCGGCATCACTGCCACAGATCAAATCAAGCCAGAACTTTTTGCAGAAGCAAAAAGAACAAAACTGAGGTGGTTTAGGGCACATCACAAGAAGGCAAAACTCTCTGAAGAAGATGTTCGTGCTGATGAAAGTCAAATGCAGAAGAAGAAATTTAGAAGAGCTGAGCAGGGCTTTTGGGGGAAAGAACATTTTGGGGAATTTTATTCATAGGGTCCCCAGAAATGGGTTGGCCGCTCATCACAGTGTCTCGTTTGTGTGGCTTCTCCTCACTGTGGCATATGATTCTCCTCCTCCTCCTCTCCCCCCACCCCTGGCAGTGATGAGTACCTGAGACTGCGGGGGCCACTAAATGCCCCCATCATAAAGGAGGCAGTTCGATGGAAGTTCACCCCCATGGGGTGGGACGCCATGCCCCAGATCTGGTACACGGGGCTGACCAACAGCCACAATCGCGACACCTGGTACACCCTCACCAATGGCATTGGCCGGGAGGCGTACCATCGCTGGCAGAAGTCCCATGCCGAACGGGAGAGGACTCTACCACCTGGTAAGGCTTTCTGGGACACCTCTGAGCTTTTTTGCCACTCTGGGCACCTGCAAAACCCTTCCTCTGTCTAGACACCATGTCCTGGTTCGTGTCTCCTGCCAAGACAAGCCCATTAATAGGTGCAAGATTTCTTCAATGTCTGGGACTGGAACAGAAACTGTGGCTGAAAATCCAGCAGACAGGGCTAAGGCTGGGTTTTGATTCATTATGTGAGAACTATTTCACATGAACTAAGCCTGGGAGCATGATTCCTTAGAGCAGAAATGCACCAGTTTGACATACGTAATATTTATGGGTCAGATATATTATTATTATTATTATTATTATTATTATTATTATTATTATTATTAATTTCTATGCCGCCCCTTGCCGAAGCCTCGGGACGGCTTACAACACAATAAAATACATTGAAATACAATAGAACATAATAAATTACCATTAAATACAAAAATACAAAAAATACACTGAGTTACGAACATACTAATATAAAATTAAAATTATCAGTATAAAATAAGTAAATAAATAATATAGGAGGAGAAAAGAGAAGGAAGAAGAAGTTGCCCTGGCCAGATCATATATTTTAACAATTAAAATGATGTTTAAATAAAAAGGTCTTTACCTGGCGCCGAAAAACCAGTAACGACGGTGCCAGGCGGACCTCTTTGGGGAGTGAATTCCATAGGTTGGGCGCCACCGCAGAGAAAGCCCTCCTCCGGGTACTTACTCTCCTAATTTCTTTCATGGAGGGTTCCCGGAGAAGGGACTCTCCCGCAAATCTCAAAGGGCGGTCGGGCATATACAGACGTAAGCGCTCGTTCAGGTAGCCAGGACCCAAGCCGTTTAGGGCTTTATAGGTCATAATCAACACCTTGAATTGGGCCCGGGCTTCAATGGGAAGCCAGTGAAGCTGACGGAGGACTGGAGTCATGTGAGCATAACGCCCCGTCCCCTTCAGCAGCCTGGCAGTTCTATTTTGCACCAATTGAAGTGTTCAGACCGTCTTCAGGGGAAGCCCCACGTAAAGCACGTTACAGAAGTCTAGATGGGAAGTCACCAGCACGTGTGTCACCGTCACCAGGCAGTTGTACTCCAGGTAGGGGCGCAGCTGATTAATCAGCCGAAGCTGAAGGAAGGCGCTCCTCGCCAACGCTGTCACCTGAGCTTCCAAGGAAAGCTCCAGGTCGAGGAGTACTCCTAAGCTGCGGACCTTGTCCCTAAGAGGGAGTGTTGCACCATTCAGGACCAGGTCAAATCCACCCTCTCCAAAGCCCGATCCGCCAACCAACAGGACCTCCGTCTTGTCTGGACTGAGCTTCAGTTTATTGGCCCTCATCCAGCCCATTACCTCGGCCAGGCACCGGTTCAGTACAGCCACTGCCTCACCTGGATTGGTGGAGAATGAGAGGTAGAGCTGGGTATCATCAGCGTATTGATGATTCCACAGCCCACACCTCCTGATGACATCTCCCAGCGGTTTCATATAGATGTTAAATAGCAGAGGGGATAGAATGGAGCCCTGTGGTAGTCCATGGCATAGCTGCCATGGCGCAGAGACATGGTCCCCCAGCACTACCTTCTGGAATCGACCGTTGAGATAGGAACGGAACCACTGCAAAGCAGTGCCTCCAACCCCCAATCCCACTAGCCTATCCAGAAGGACACCATGGTCGATGGTATCGAAAGCCGCTGAGAGGTCCAGGAGAACCAACAGGGATGCACTCCCCCTGTCCTTCTCCCTGCACAGGTCATCGTACAGGGCGACCAAGGCAGATTCAGTACTGTACCCGGGTCTGAAGCCAGACTGAAAAGGATCCAGATAATCAGTTTCATCCAAGAGTGCTTGGAGTTGTCCCACCACCACTCGCTCCAACACCTTGCCCAGAAACGGGATGTTGGCCACAGGTCTATAGTTAGTGGCCATCTCTGGATCCAGTGACGCTTTCTTCAGGACCGGTCGTATTACCACCTCCTTTAAAGGGGCAGGCACTCGACCCTCCCTCAGAGAAGCGTTAACCACTTCTAAGATCCAGGTCCCAATCCCGTGCTTGGAGTTATTTATTAACCAAGACGGGCAAGGATCCAATAGGCAAGTAGTGGGATGTACTCGTCCAAGCACCTTGTCCACATCATCGGGCCGCAATAACTGAAATTTATCCAGTAATTCTGGACCATATGGCAGCATTGGCGTCTCGCCAGAGACCTCTGATTCATTAGTGGAGTCCAGCTCGTGACGAATCTGAGCGATTTTCTCCCTGAAATGCCTGGCAAAGTCGTCACAGCTGGCCCTTGAGGGTGGCATCGGATCTTCCTTTAGGACCCGGGCGAACCAGCCCTTGTACCACTCGAAAAAGCTCCGCCGGACGGCATTGTGAGGAGGCAATGGAAACGGAAAAGAATTTCTTTTTCGCCGCCCTCACCGCCACAGCATAGGCCCGATAATGGGCTCTCAAGTGTGTTCGGTCAGATTCATCCCGTGATCTCCTCCACCTACGCTCTAGCCGTCTCCCAACCTGCTTCATCGCCCGCAATTCAGGTGTATACCAAGGGGAAGAGCGGACTCTGCCCGGTGGGAGAGGACGCTTAGGAGCGATCGTGTCCACAGCCCTGGTCATCTCTCCGTTCCACAGTTCGACCAGAGCCTCGACAGGAGCACCAGTCTTGTCAGCGGGAAACTCCCCCAGGGCCTTCAGGAATCCATCCGGATCCATCCGGCTCCAGGGGCGGACCAACACAATCGGATCTGCACCCTTACAGAGGGAGAGGCCGCTCTCGAGCACAAACCTCACCAGGAAGTGATCTGACCATGACAGGGGAGTCAAACATAAATTCCTCACCCTCAGACCACCCTCTTCCTGCCCCGTCGAGAAAACCAGGTCCAGAGTGTGTCCACGTTCATGGGTCGGGCCGGAGACATGTTGAGACAGCCCCATGGCCGTCATGGAGGCCATGAAGTCCTGAGCCGCCCCGGTTAGACCAGACTCAGCATGGAGATTGAAGTTCCCCAGGACCAACATCCTGGGGGTCCTCAGCACCAGGTCTGAGACGGTCTCCGTCAGCTCTGATAGGGAGACTGTTGGGCAGAAGGGTGCACGGTACACCAACAGAATCCCCAATCTGTCTCAGTCGCCCAACACCAAGTAGAGACACTCCAGCCCTGGCCTCGAGGGGACCGGAAGTCCTGTGAGGGAGATGGAGGCTCGGTAAACCAAAGCGACCCCCCCCCTCCAGGCGTGAATGGTGCTGGACCAGATACCCTGGCGGGCACATTTGAGAGAGGGCTACACCCCCCCCCCCCCGCCCAGGTCTCCGTTATGCAAGCCAGGTCGGCCCCCTCCTCCACAATCAAGTCACGGATGAGGGAAGATTTATTATTGATCGACCTGGCATTAAGCAACAGCACCGTCAGGCCCGAGGGGCGGTTGACAAGGCTACCTGGCGCCCTCTGGTTGGGACAGAGGAAATACTCATGAGGTTGAAAGTCTCACCTCTGTTTCTGAGTTGGCATGCAGGTGTGTTGTTGACTTACCTGTTTGGCCTCTGCTCTGTCTCGTCTTTCCTCAGCTTATGCCCAGCATCTGCGAGAGAGCAGCTGGTACGATCCCATCATTCCTGCCCAGTACCTGGAACCCAGCACACGGTGGGGAGCATTTCGTTGGAAAGACACACCTGTCCTGGGCAAAGAATACGGTAAGGAGAAAGGTGCTGCAGGGAGAAAAGGAGATGGCTGGGACTTTTGGAGCTGCATCCCAGAAGAGAAGAGATCAGCTCTGGATAAAACAGGATGGATTTGTTTGATTGTTTGTTTGTTTATCAATTTATATCCTGCCTTTTTCCTACAAAGGGCTCAAGGCAGCTTACATCATTCTCCTCCTCCATCTTATCCCCACGCTGAGAGTATGACTGGCCCAGAGTCACCCAGTTGGCTCCAGTTGGCAGGGACTCGAATCCAGGTCACCTGAGGCCCAGTCCCAGCTCTTAACCACGACACCACACTGGCTCTCCAGTGTAACTTTCCTAGTCAAAGGCAGTCGACCTGTATATCCCAGCTGCTGCAGGCAGTGTCAAAATACTAGTGTGGCCGATATTCCCTACATGGATGTTTCCTGCAGCCCCCAGGTCTAGAAACAGGCTGCAAAGTTGGTGGATGGCTTTCAGTCCCGCAGGGCTTTTCCACCTAGCAAAGGCACCTTTGCTGAAATGACATTGCATTTCCATTCTGCCTTTTTCCTGCTCACAACAACCCTGTGAGGTAGGTTGGGCTGAGGGGGAGTGGCTGGCCCAAAGGCATCCGGGGAGCTTCAGTGGGGACTTGGATCTCCCCAGTTCCCAGTCCAGTGCTCTTCCCACTACACCACACTGCCTCTCAGGGTAAACACAGGTTAAATGTGGTTACACCACCAGCTCATCCTGGGAAGTAGCCAAAGGTGGAGTGTGGAAGCTCTCACCCACTGAAGAGCATCAATTTTACCAGGCCTCACTGGATGTACTCTTTGGAGGTGGATGGGGAACAATTCCTGATTCCTATAAGCTTTTTTGGAAGGAAGGAAACACTTTGGATGACTATAAAACAGGCACCTTCCTTAGGGATTTACGAATCTGCTTTGAATTATCTTCTGTGAGCGACTCTCCGCTCGGTCTGAGGGGGTCTGAACTCCCCTTCACATCATCAGCTGCCTGATCCTTTTACTGGGTTAGGAAAGTACAGCTTGGACCCGGGACCTTGGCTGAACTTTCTCCTTTTCCCTCTCTAGTTGTCAACCGCAACCGCTGTGCCAAGGACCTCCCGGGGAAACCAGGGTATGTCCCTCACCTGTCTACGAATACACCTGACTTCACGAGAAAAGACTTCCGCACCTGGAGAAGGTTCAGCCGACAGCCCTCGACCAAGCAGTAAAAAGTTTTTCTCACCGCTCGCATGATGTGGATCCCTCTTTGTGTGCCAGCGGTGGGAAGAGCTGGCCCTGTGGCTTGGACATTGCCGTGTCCTAGCTTGCTTTGTATTCCAGCAGAGATGCTGGGATTTCTCCAAGTGCTGCTTTACTCAGTACAAGACTTACGGGTGGAAGTCGGTGTCGCCCAGTGGGAAACCAAGGGCTCAAACCAATTCCTGGGGGAACAAGTCTTCAACGCTCTGGGGGAGTCTGATGGCTGAGGGAAATTTTACACCTGTACCATGTCAAGCCAGCACATCTCAGCATAAGATCACGCACAAACTAGAATAAGAACGCAGAAGTTCAACTTCCACTGTATTATTATTATTTATTGTGTTACATTTAAATCCTGCCTTTTGATCGCTTGGGAAGAACCCGTGCTGACTTTCACAGCTCCGTTTCATCCTCATAACAACCCTGTGAAGTAGGCCAGGCTGCGTCCACCTGACTGGCTCAAAGTCACCAGTGAGCTCTGTGGTTGAGTGGGGGGACTAGAACCCGGATCTTCTGGCTCCCCAGTGCATGACTTTTCAAAGAAACATAGAAACAGAGCAAGTCAGAAGGGGCCTTCTGGGCCATTTAGTCTGACCCCGGCTCCAGCCGGCTCCGCTCATGACATGCCCACCACGTGCATGTCCAGCCTGTCCTTGATCACCCGCACCGAGGGGGCCTCAACCCCCTCCCTGGAAGCCCATTCCACACCCTGGGGGTCCTAACCATCAGGAAGGACTTGCCTAAGAGCCCCTGAGGTATGACAGTCCTCCTTTCCTTGCTTTTCCTTCCTGGGGAAGTTTTGTCTGGCTCTGCTGGACTGAGGACTGCTTATTTGTCTTTCTGCTGGTATTTGCAAAACAAGATAGAAACATGGAAACATAGAAACAGAGCGAGTCAGAAGGGGCCTCCCAAGCCATCTAGTCTGACCCCCCGCACCAGCCGGCTCCGCTCACGACATGCCCACCATGTGCATGTCCAGCTTAGCCTTGAATGCCCTCACCAATGGGGCCTCAACTACCTCACCTGGAAGCCCAGTCCATACCCTGGGAGTCCTAATTGTCAGGACGGACTTCCTGGTATCTACATTGAACCTGGGTTCCCTGAGCTTGGCTCCGTTGGAGCGCGTCCTGCCCTCCTCTGCAGGGGAGAACAGGTCTCTGCCCACCTCCGCGTGACACCCCCTCACATACCTGCATGTCGCCAACAGGTCCCCTCGGAGTCTCCTCTTCTCCAGGCTGAAGAGGCCCAGTTCCCTCAGTCTCGCCTCATACCCCATCCCCTGCAAACCGGCCACCAACCTTGTGGCCCTACGCTGCACTGACTCTAACCTGGCTATATCCTTCCTGTAATGAGGGGCCCAAAACTGAGCACAATACTCCAGTTGTGGGCGCACCAGAGTCGTATAGAGTGGTAGTAACACCTCTCTCGATCGAGAAGCCACACTTCTGGCTGTGCAACCAAGGGTGGCGTTCGCCCTCTTGGCCACCGCATCACACGGCTGGCTCATGTTCAGCCTGCAGTCAACCAGCACCCCGAGGTCCCTTTCACAAGTGCTGCTCTCCAGCCACTTGTCCCCCAGCCTGTACTTGTGACACCCATTCCCATGCCCCAAGTGCAAGACCTTGCACTTATCCACATTGAACGCCACCCTGTTGTCTCCTGCCCAGTTCCATAGTCTGTCCAGACCCTTCTGGATCCGGAGTACCTGCTCCTCAGTTGTGGCCACTGCTCCAGTTTTAGTGTCGTCTGCGAATTTGATCAGCAGACTGTTCGCTCCTACCTCCGTGTCATTTAATCTCCCCACTGCACTGGCTGTGTATTGTTAGCTCTCAGGTTGGGAAGCTTGGTCAGAACAGAAACTCAGTGGAAGCACAGTTTGCAACTGGCAGCCTTCACCTCCGTCTGGGCACACGGACCACGTCCTTCAGCAGCCAGCAGCTGTTTCCTCTGTAGACACAAGCCACCCTCAACCTTTCGATGCTCCAGATGTGCAGCTGTTCTAGGGCACAATTTATGCTGCCGGATACATTTGTGCCAGTGGAAAAAATCTGCTTAAATTTTGTGCAGTTGGGGAAATGAGGTTTCGTCTTTTTACGGCTGTCCATAGCAGGATCCAGGAAAGCACCCATGCAGTGGGGATTGGGTGAGATGCCAGGAATTGGTGAGGTTGCACACAGCACTTCCAACAACGCCCCCAGCGTGTAGTTTACTGGGAATTTAGCAGGCATGCAGGAAAGGCAAGACACCGTTTTAGACAGCAGAGAAAGAAAACTGCTCCTTCATCCTCTAAATGGTTACATTTTTTAAAAAGCACAAAGCATTGTGCTGGTTGTCTCGTGTTTCCTGCTTTTCCCTTTGAAGTCTGGACTTCGTGATGGATTACAGACTCGGGAAGCAGTCCACAAACTCTCATGCGTCGTTGGCTAAGCTCGCATACCTGGCCTTCAGAGCTGCTTGCCTTGGCATGCAAACCTGGGCAGGCAACTGTTTGCACTGGATGACAAACCCCTCAGAACCCACAACCAGCTGTAGGGTACAAGCCATGTTGATTTCTTCTGTGCTCTGTTCTTTGCAGAGCTGGGGAGATGTGGAATGCTTCTCGAGAAATCAGAATGCCCAAGTTTCATTTCCCGATCCCTCCCCATAAGCCACAAGAGCTACCATCCCATAATTTCCTTTTGTAAAAAATACAAAGCAAACTTAAACAGCATAAATAGTTATAAACTATTCACTTGCTCAGTATAGATTGCCAATTTACTATTATCGTTATCCCTTGTTGGATGACAAAGAGGAAGGACAGGTTTTAATAGCATGTTACAAAAATGTGGATAATTTATCTTTATAATTTAATGTAGGTAATTTAAAAATGTGCGTTGAGAAATTCAAGAAGAGAATGTCCAGTTGTCTGATGGTGTCATGTTTATAACATCTGAAATTTTATAACCTGAAATTTGGCATGCCTTTTCAGGAACCTGCAGGGATGTACAATTTGGTGGGGTTTTATTTTTTTAAAGTATTAATGCCTTTTAATTAATTTCAGCATGTCAGGAAGCCGCCTTCACATCTTCAGTCTATAACCAATGTGTAGCTTTGCCATCGATAGAGTCTGAATCCGGTGAGGCTGAAGAGCAGTTGAAGGGGCTGAGTGCTCCTGTGTCCAGGATGGATTGGACAAATTCTGCTCATGCTGGGGAGCACCACGATGGGAGCTGGGCTTGGGGTGCAGGCCGGCACAGGGCCCCCAACACAACAAGCGGTGTCCCCTTGCTCGGATGCTTGGCTGCATCAGACCAAGGCCTGCCTCAGTCCGTGTGTTACTGGGTGGAAACAATTCTCACTGCTGCTGAAGGTCCAGTTCAGGCCATGCCCCCATGGAGATCAGCTCCCTTTCCAACTGGACGATCCGGAAACCGATGTAGCCCGAAGAGAGAAGCAGGATGACGACCCTGAGTGATGGGCAAAGAGGCAGGAAGGATAAGTGAATTAGCACAGAAAAAGGGGGAAAGTCCAGACCTCTGCTCCAACTCAGATATTAATTTGCATCCAGCTTCAACACGATGCTTGTGATAAATATGCCTCTAAGCATGTACAGAGTGCCTTTCTGAGCACATGCAGCCCACTTCTGATTTTCAGTGTGGTTTGTTAATACTAGTAGTACACTGCATGTCAAGTGTGCCTTTCATCCGCAGAATCTGGGGGATTTCCAGAGGATCTGCTGCTCTTCAAATGATCCTGCAGCGGCCCTGAGAAACAGGTAGGCTAGGCTGACAGACGGGCAACCCCAGCAAGTCTTAAACCTGACCACACGGGAGTCCTGGTCCCTCCGTGTGTCTCCCCACCACCCCAGAAAATGCATCCACTCACAAGAAGATGTAAATTAGGATAACTGTGTTGAGAGGGCACAGCAGAACTCCCCGGCTTCTTGAGGATTTTGTGGGCCGCCTCCCACCTGCAAGGAGAAGGGAAAGTGTTTTAGGTGTGCTGACAAATACCAGAAGGAGAAACAGAGAGATTTAGAGTCAGTGAAATTCTCCGCTCTACTGTGTTTAAAAGGCAAGCATGTCAGCGTGGCTGAAGGTGCTGTTGGGCTGGAGCAGCATCCCACAGACGCGAGTGACTGAGCCACAACCAAGAGGCTAAAATCACTCCTGCCTTTTAATCAGAGGATCTGAGAGTTCTGACTTTAGAACTTATAGTAGCAAACACACTACAAGACTCCAGATGAAGGGGAGGCAAGAGGGGAATATGGCTCCCAGCCTCTTCCCAAGCCCATTTCAGCCTCCAAGCTGGCAAGAGGGGCTTGTACGGGGTTAGAGTGGGAACTTCCAAGCACCAGAGGTACAACCACTTTCTACCTATGACCAATGCAAGGCGCCACTTTCCCACCCACCTCTGCTGGCTGCTGTTTCTGGCAGTTCAGCTTTGGATTGCTTCTGAGAACCTCCCGCCTCACCTGTGAAAGAAAGAAACACCCTGGTCAGCAGGGTAGGAAAAGTTGTATTCCCCAAGGTGGTGGTGCTTGTTAGTTGCGAAGTCGCATCTGACACATCGCGACCCCATAGACAACATTCCTCTAGGCCTTCCTGTCCTCCACCATCCCCTGGAGTCCAGCTAATCTCACGCCGACTGCTTCAGTGACCCCATCCAGCCCCCTCATCCTCTGCCACCCCCTTCTCCTTTGCCCTTCCATCGTCCCCAGCATCAGGCTCTTCTCCAGGGAGTCCTTCCTTCTCATTAGGTAGCCAATGTCTTGGAGTTTCATCTTCAGGGTCTGGCCTTCTGAAGAGCAGTCAGGGTTGATCTCCTCTAGGACTGACCGGTTTGATCGCCTTGCGGTCCAAGGGACTCGCAGAGTCTCCTCCAGCACCACAAACCAAAGGCCTCAATTCTTCAGCGCTCAGCCTTCCTTATGGTCCAGCTTTCACAGCCATACATTGCAACTGGGAAGACCATCGCCTTGACTATGCGCACTTTTGTTGGCAGGGTGATGTCTCTGCTTTTCAGTACGCTGTCTAGACTCCTTGCGGTCAGAGCAATACGGCCGTGGGACCAGCTGCCTGGAGAGGAAGGGGCTCTCCCACACTGGAGTCATCTAAAAAGAACCTGGACAGCCATCCGAGTGGGATGGTGTGAACTGGTGTCCTGCAACAGCAGGGGGATGGACTGGATGGCCTTCCTGACCCCTTCCAACTCTTCTATGATTCTACTATTCTATGATTCAGTGTCTGCCCATCTGGATGCTCCCATTTTATTCACAGTTCAGGGGTCCCCAAACTCCCACCTGTTCCTGGCAGGGGTACAGATCAGGGTGCTCCTCAGAGGGAGTTACAGGGTTCCCTAAGTCCAAATGCCCACCTGGAAAGCATCAACACCTGGTCAGGGCCTGACTCTTCCTATGCAGCAAGGTTATTTTTAAAAAGATAGCTGAGTCAGGGCAGTGAGCAGGGCATGTACAGAGTTCTTCAGGATGGTTTTTTCTAAAACATTAAATGTATAGACTGATTTTTACAACAAAATGAGGCTTCCTATGCCAGTGGATTTAGTTGTTGTTGTTAGTCGCGAAGTCGTGTCTGACCCATCGTGACCCCATGGACAACATTCCTCCAGGCCTTCTTGTCCTCCACCATCCCCGGAGTCCAGCTAAGCTCACACCGACTGCTTCAGTGACTCCATCCAGCCACCTCATCCTCTGCCGCTTCCTTCTTCTTTTGCCATCTATTGTTCCCAGCATCAGGGTCTTCTCCAGGGACTCCTTCCTTCTCTTTAGGTGGCCAAAGCATTCCAGCTTCAGTTTCAGGACCTGGCCTTCTAAAGAGCAGTCAGGGTTGATCTCCTCTAGGACTGACCGGTTTGATTGCCTTGCGGTCCAAGGGACTCGCAGGAGTCTCCTCCAGCACCACAGTTCAAAGGCCTCAATTCTTTGGCGCTCAGCCTTCCTTATTGTCCAGCTTTCATAGCCATACATCGCCACTGGGAAAACCATAGCTTGGACTATACGCACTTTTGTTGGCAGGGTGATGCCTCTGCTTTTTAGTATGCTGTCTAGATTTGCCATAGCTCTCCTGCCCAGGAGCAAGCGTCTTTTAATTCCATGGCTGCAGTCCCCATCTGCGGTGATCTGGGGGCCTAGGAAAAGAAAATCTGTCACTACCTCCATTTCTTCCCCATCTATTTCCCAAGAACTGATGGGACCAGATGCCATGATCTTAGTTTTGTTAATGTTGAGTTTCAGGCCAACTTTTGCACTCTCCTCCTTCACCACATCAAAAGGCTCTTTAGTTCCTCTTCACTTTCTGCCATTAGATGGATTTAGTAGCAGACTCCAAGTCCATTGCATTCCTGTAGTCATGGCTTAAAATGCAAACACACACGTGTGAAGAACATGTCTTTGTCATGCAGTTAAGCAAAGAGTTATGTTCCGTTTCTTTGCCATAATGTTTCAGGGATGCCGAAGGTGTTGTGAAGCGTGGGATGGCGGGGAGGAGAGAAAAGAAACAGGTCAGACTGTGCATCTGAAGGAACGCATAGAGCTGTCTCAAAAAGGGACAAGCCAAGCCGTTCAGTCCAGGGTCTCAAATGAGCAATTTGTGACTCAGCTTCCAACCCTGGAGGAGCTGCATTAGCAACACAGGCCTATGCTTAAATTCGGCATTCAGCAGAGGATTGGATGGCAGGACTGCGGTCTTGGCTGGTACTGGGAGCAAACATGGCACATAGATATTCTGGGGACACATGGCGGGGACGCTAGATCCAGCCCAAGCACCGTGGACCTTTTGGGGCCAAGCAAAATCCTTTCTGCCCACCCAGGTTTTTCAACAGCTGGCTGTCCATTTTAAAATCTCTTTTTCCATGTCAGTTTCATTTTTGTGTTGCTTTGGGCTTTCAGTGCACTGCTCTAGCCTGGATTGTTTAAGGCATTCCTTTTTAAAAAATAAGTTTTTGCAAAAAAATATTCAGTAGGACCAAAATGCTCTTGTGCTCTTATAGCAGAGTGTGAATATTGCCCGTGCAGCCAAAATCACACCCCCACCCTGGTTCTCACCCGGCTCCTCCGAAGAAGTGTGCTGCTCTGGTGCAGTGTTATTCGGATCAAACTCCTTTGAGATCTACACATGAGAAAAGGGAAAGACAAGACAGGGATAAGACCAGCTCCAGCTTTCACTGCAATCTTTGGCAAGATGCTTCATGGAGTCCCTCCAGCATCCAGCATCCAGCATGTTCTTTATCTTCCTCATCATCCTACAACTGGGACATCTCCTCCTCTTCTCTGGACCAGAGGGAAGAGCCAGTGAATTTAGGTTGCCTGAAGGAGAGGAGCAGCAGCTGAAATGATCGTGGAGACTAGCTTATGGGAGCATAATATGATGAAAGCCCAGACACGCTGGGCAGGCCATGTTGCAAGGATGCCAGGCCATCGCATCTCCAGACAGCTCTTCTATGGTGAGCTGTCTCAAGGAAAGCGATCGCACGGGGGACAAAAGCAGCGATACAAAGACACGCTGAAAGCCTCTCTCAAGTCCCTGTAATCGACAGCACCTCCTGGGAGACCCTGGCACAAGACCGATCGACATGGCGCACGCCGATCCAGCAAGGCTGCCAAGCTTCTGAAGCCAGGAGGACAACCACAGCACAAGAGAAGCGAGCGCTCCGTGAAGCCAGAGCTGCAAACACTGCAACAGTGGTGCCCACGCGTCTGCCCGACGTGTGGCAGAACACTCCGTGCCCGTATTGGCCGTATCAGCCACCTGCGGACACACCACGGACAACTCACAACCCATTAGATGTCAAGGTCCTCATCGAAAACGATGGACGAACATCATCATCATGAACATATTGGAATCCAGGCCTGATCCACAGCGCTGGTGCGAACGTTCAAAGCCTGAAACGGCTTGGGACAAGGTTATCTGAAGGAACGCCTATTGGCCTGAATTAGGGTGGGGGCCTTGGGGGGAGGGGCTTCCTGGCTAACTAAGGACGAACCCCAGCTAGATGAATTATAGCCGAATTTAATTGTCACCTAGTTAAGTTGAAGCTGATTTAAGCACAGAAGCAATAATTAGGGCATGACTGCATGGGAAGAAAACCAGTGACGTTACGACCAAGATAAGAAGAATTATGGCAGGATGAAAGGAATACAGCCAGGACCTTTGATAAGAAGGATGGGAGCAGTATTATCCAAGGAAGGTATAAAAAGACCTGTGCATTGTTTGTTCAGGGATTACAAATTGAGTTTCCCTGAGTTACTCTGTGCTCCGCTTTGTTCATTGTGAACCTGCAGAAAGCTTACTGAAGACCAAGTCTCATCTCTACATGCTTAAGATGAGCTATTGAGTCTGAGGTCCTCAATTCTTGCAAGCAAACAGGGCAACACGCTTTGTCTCATTTGCATCTACCTGGACCCTGAGCTTCTTTTCAAGGGTCCTTCTCCAGAAGTCCCCTCCAGAGGAAGCAAGAAGGGTGGCTACCAGAAGGGCCTTCTCGGTTGTGGCCCCACAGCTCTGGAATGAGCTCCCCAGAGAGGTGCACCTAACACCTACTCTCTGTACTGAGTGGCACCAGGTGAAAACCTTTGTATTTGCCCAGTATTTTAATAGTTCACTTTTTAACTTTCATTTTTAATATTTCTTTAATCCAGTACCACATTTTATCTATAGCTCTGTGCTGGTTTGGTTGCAGCTGCAGCGGTTTTATTATTGCTTTACGTCTTCCTTGTCTGCTTGTTTTTATCTTTTGTTAACCACCTGGAGAACTTTGGCTACTGGTTGGTAAAAAAAAGGAAAATAATAAATGTATAAGAAAGAGGCCTCTGCTGGAATGTGGACCCTGGTCAAGGGGCCTAATGAATGCAGCTGTTGGCGCCTTGGTTGGGGGCGTGGCTTTCAGCACCAAGTGGAAGTGCTTGGGGCCAGACAAAGCAACACTGCTAACCACACATGGTTCCTACGCTTTGCAGACATTTACCCAACAGAAATCGAGGAGTTTCCACTTCATTGTGATTTCAATCTTCCCCACTCAGTCCTCCCACTCTTGGCACATATCCCATCAGACCTTGCACCAGAAATTCAATCTCAAGGTGCATCACTCTCTAGCCATCTCACTGTCTCTTCCCCATTGGTCTGGACACAGAGGCTGGATGGCTGGAGCGACTCTCGCAGTCGCCACTCTTTCCAAAGGACTCTATGGTAGTTGCATTTTGAGGACTGTGGAAACCATGATTCTGGGTTCACACTACACAACAAGTCCTGATGGTACAGAGAAACCATAGAACAACCCATGTTTTCTTACTGTGGTTCCTAAAGACCAACTTTACCATGATGAACTACTATGACTGGGGTTGGACAATAGGTCAACAGTGGTAATAAATAAATAATAAAGAAGAAACCATCATGGTTTTCCATGTTGTCTGAACCCATCTCTCTCTTACTCGCTCTCTTACCAGGGATATCTTAAGGAGATGGTCTGAGCTGGTGCAAGGCGGGGTTGGACTACTGTTCCGGCTGCCATCCTAGGACAGGGAAAGCAGGAAAGGAAAAATCAGCAGTGAGTGGTGGAGGATTTGGGCAGCCACAGGTCCCTCCAAACAGCCCAGCTGCATCTTTACCTGGAGGTGCTTACACACCGAACGTAGCAGCTGGTAGGTGGTTTCCCGTGACCGCAGCGATCCAAAGAGGAACTGCCGTGGGAGGAAGAGGAAAAATTAAAAACCCCACATGACAACGGTCCATGGCATGCAGCGTAGAATTTCCACCTGAGGAATCAATTCCACTTTCAAGAGACTGGCATGTTCTTGGTTAGAGCTGTTACTCTGGGGGCTTGCGCAGCTGTGATTTGCTTTGCCTGAGGCTCAGAGAGGGAGGGAGAAGAACTGAGAGGAAAAATAAGGGGGCTCGGGGCAGACAGAGGGTGTTTGATGGGTGAGGAGCAGGTAGTGACAAGGGCCTTCTCTGTGCTGGCCACCACATTGTGGAATAGCCTCCCCAGTGCAGCCCAGCAGGTGCCAAACCTGTCCTCTTTTCTGCACTGGTATGCCAGGACTGACTTGGACACTCCAGGTGTTTTATGGGGTGTTGTTCTTCAGTGTGACTGGTTCTGGCTGTTTTAAAACTATTTAATGTTGCTCATTGAAACTCAACTTTAAGAAAACTAAGATCATGGCATCCGGTCCTCTCACTTCCTGGCAAATAGATGGAGAAGAAATGGAGGTAGTGACACATTTTATTTTCCTGGGCTCCAAGATCACTGCACATGGGGACTGCAGCCAAGAAATTAAAAGACGCTTGCTCCTGGGGAGGAAAGCTCTGGCAAATATAGGCAGCATACTAAAAAGCAGAGACATCACCCTGCCGACACAAGTGCGTATAGTCAAGGCTATGGTTTTCCCACTTGCAATGTATGGCTGTGAAAGCTGGACCATAAGGAAGGCTGAGCGCCGAAGGATTGAGGCCTTTGGATTGTGGTGCTGGAGGAGACTCCTGCGAGTCCCTTGGACCGCAAGGCGATCAAACCGGTCAGTCCTAGAGGAGATCAACCCCGAATGCTCTTTAGAAGGCCACATCCTGAAGATGAAGCTCGAATACTTTGGCCTCCTGATGAGCAGGAAGGACTCCCTGGAGAAGAGCCTAATGCTGGGAACAATAGATGGCAAAAGAAGAAGGAAGCGGCAGAGGATGAGGGGGCTGGATGGAGTCACTGGGGCAGTCGGTGTGAGCTTGAGTGGACTCCGGGGGATGGTGGAGGACAGGAGAGCCTGAAGGAGTGTTGTCCATGGGGTCACGATGGGTCGGACGCGACTTCATGACTAGCAACAACAAATGTTGCTCAGTTTTTATCATCTTTTTGTTACTTTCTTGTCTTGTTTTAAGGTTTGCTGCGAACCATCCAGAAAGCTTTGGTTGGGGGTGGTATTGAAATAAACAAACATATACTACATGCCTTGTTAAGCAGAGAAAATCAAATGGGTTGAGTGATCTGGGTTCTAGTCCCCACTCAGCTATGGAGCCAATGGGAAGACTTTGGGCCAGTAACTCTCAGTCCAGCCTACCTCACAGGGCTGTTGTTGTGGGGATAAGACGGAGAGCAGCAGGAGAAGAAGGATGTGAGCTGCTTTGAATTCTTTAGAAAAAAAAGGTGGGATATAACTCTAATAGATGATGATGATGATAACTTCATCATCTTCCTGCTTTTAGTAGCATCTCCTGCATACTTTCCAAACGACAGTGTGGCGTATTGGTTAAGAGTGTGGGACTGGGACGCGGACGATCTGGGGTCGAGTCCCCGCTCAGCCATGGAGTCAACTGGGTGACCCTGGGCCAGTCACAGACTCTCAGCCCAGCCTACCTCACAGGGTTGTTGTTGTGGGGATGAGATGGAGGAGGAGAATGATGTAAGCTGCCTTGAGTCCTTTGTAGGAAAAAGGCAGGATATAAATCAGAAATAAAATAAAAATAAATAGTATTTGTTTCCCTAAAGACTAGAAGGTTCTTTTAAAATTAGAAATGGGTTTTCAAGTTACTAAATAATTCTGAGTTTCCACTGTGCATCTCAGAAAATCTGCATGCGTGCCAACTCGGACACCGACGCAGGTGCGCCCGTATCCTTCCCCACATGCCACAGACCAGCTTCCCACCTTGTCACCCTCGGCTGTCCGGATGCAGATGGCATTGGGTACCAGCAAGGCCGTGTTCGCCTTCTTCAGGACGCTGATGGTGGGCACTGGAATGGTGACCTAATCCGGGGAAATGGGACAAAGTCAGAGATGCGTCACAGCTTCTCGTTCCACCATGAAAACGCATCGCCACCTGAATTCCAACTGGCTTAGGGGGTAACGGGATGAACCCTTGTGCCCAAGTCTGGACTCACCCCTGACTCATGTCAGGGTGTTGTGGGGGGCAGAAAACCATGGCACTCAGCACCAGTTTGAAGCAGAAAAGCCTCCAGCCCCAGAGAATTGCACCCACCCCACAACTCAGCTTAAAGACTTCTCTGGGACCTCTGGTCCAGATTCTGAGGCTCACCTGCTCTTGGAATTCTACATGGTCTCCCTGCACCCCATGGATCAGCTCCCCCATAACTTAAGCCCACTCGAACCAGGTCTTGGGGCTCAGAGGCCAAAATCCCGCGAGGGCTTCTCGTCTCCACTCGGCCAGTTCTGGATCAGTAGCTTGCTCTCAGCTGAACCTTCCGCGCAGGTTTATTTATTGTTGTAAGTGTATTTATCATATTATATCCCACCTTTTT